CAGGAAAAATATAAAGGGAAAATAAAAACTCCTTGGGGTCCTTGTTTATCCTGAGCTTGAAGAGAGACATTTTTACTTCTATCAAAGTTCCATCAAGTGTACTGACTCTCCTGCCACTGAAAAAGGCAGGAATTGATAGTGGAGGCAGCATGCACATTTTTAGGCAATTTTCTAGAAGATGGTAATGCTATGGGGAGAAAACACAAAATACAGCACAGTGAACAAAACCTAGTGAAGAACTGGCCTCTCTAGCTGCCATGTACTAGTTTCAGATACTCAGCACAGTGCACTCCTACTTGTTAAAACATCAGTTTGTATACAAAATCATTTGTTATCTCTACAGAAAATAATGGTAAAATCGTGACTTTGAATCTGTACCTGTAATAGATATTTCATGTCTTCTGAAAGACACTGCATGACACCTCCCAGTACCTGCCTTTGGGGTATTTGTCTTGCAAACGTTTATTTTTGGAAGGGGAATGGCTGAATACCAGCCTTACATTTCACTGCTGAAGTTTGGTATTTGCTTGCAAGTGGTTTCCTCACCTCCCAGACTGACAGCAGCACTTACTACTCCCAACACTGGGTGAACCCCATGGCTACATCCCATGTTATGGCAGGATGGGGCCAAGCACGCATCAAAATCCACTCTTCCCGGCTCCTGTCCTGTGGCTGTCACCTGCAGGGAGCCTGGGAACATGGACCAAAAGGAGCTGTAGCATGTTCCAGCTTGGGCCTCAATCAGGACACTGAAGAAACTAGACCCAAGGTCTGTTTTGGCTCCAAGGAAACCTTTCAAAGAGAACCATGTTGCTTTGACATTATGTCTGCATAATACGTCCCCATTAGCATTTCAGCTTGGATTAGGAGTGCAATTTTGAAGCATTTCTCCTGACCTCCCGTCCATAGTACGCTTTGCTTCACCTTGTGGAACAGTCCTGTCATCTGTCAACTGGACTCCATCCAGACAAAGCTAAACCAAAAGATCTGGTATAGGAGCACACTTACTGCACTACAGTTGCTAACAACATAAGACCAGTCAATGTGACCAGATTAGAGCTGGTCTGAATTAAACCTCTGAAACACATAGAGGGTGCACACTGCGTCACCTGTGCCAGCTCCTCTGTGCTACAGATCATCCCTACTTGTTCCAGGCCACCTACTAATGTAGTCACAGCCCAAGGAGGCTGCACTGCTGCTTTCTAACCCTCTCACTGCTTAAATGGGTGAATAGTGCCATTTTAGGCACCATATGGTATCCCTGCAGGCCTCCAGCTGCCACTCTGCAGATCAACAGTTCAACCAAATGTCTCATGTCATATCTGGCAGCCCCATGCAGACATCTCAGATACCTCAGGGAGGCTAACTGCTGTGGATGTCTATATTTAGGCAACTCAATACCATTTTATCTTAGCATCTATTCACCTCTAGACCAAAAAAAAAATGGAAGCAAATGAGATTAAAAGTAAGAAAGAAGATGCTTGAAATACTATGATGAGTTATATGAACTAAAATGAACAATGTAAAATAAAATAAAATAAGCTAAATAAAATGAATATTTTTTGTAAAATTCTCTCACCTAAAACTCTTAGAGGGTTTTTTAAAAACTAAAGAGTACACAAAACTCAATCTGGGACAGCAAAAGTATTGTTCTGTTCTTCAAGAAACACATGAATTTTACAAATAACATTCATTGTTCAGCAAGGGCTGAATTCTCTGACATTAACAGTACTATTGAAAAGCTTGAAATTAAGTGTCTGTGTGTATACTTTACTGGTCTAACACCCTAGATGCTCTGAAGACTGTTGTATCAAAGTCTTTGCAGGACCACTTCCTGAAGATAGTAAATCAGTAAATTATCAAATTATTAAATTTGCTGGGATAGTAATAAACAGGCTATGGCATGTCCTCTGTCCTGAGGATGACTGACAGAGAGCAGCCCTCATCTGTGCCAGCAAGCTCCTGTTGTCCAGCATGGGCTGGCCTCAGGTAAGCAGGGCTGCTCCCGAGGCTGACCACGCACAGGACTGCATAGCAGAGGCTGGTGACCCCACGGGTCAGAGCTGTGTCACGGCTGACCTCCCAGTCTTACACTGTGATCACACTCCAAAGCTGCAGAAAAGCAGTTTTACTACCAAGAAACAGTCTGAGTCTGCATGGAAATACTTGGGAGCTTACAGGTGTCTTAAGCACTTAAACAAAAATCCTGACCTCTCGTGACAAATATTCGAACATCTTTGTGGGTCCAAAGAAGGCCACAAATGAGATGAGAGGGCTGGAACACCTCTACAAAGATAGGCTGAGAGAGCTGAGTTTGTTTAGCCTGGAGTAAGGAATGCTCAGGGGAGACCTTAGAGCAGCCTTCTAATACCTAAAAGGGTCTTATAAAGAAAAGAGAGAGTGATTTTTTGCACGGGCAAGTAGTAACAGGACAAGGGGGAATGATTTTAAATGATAAGAGGGGAGATTCAGATCAGATATTAGAAAGAAATTCTTTACTGTGAGGGTGTTGAGGCACTGGAACAAGTTGCTCAGAGAAGTTGTAGATGCCTCATCCCTGGAAGTGCTCAAGGCCAGACTGAATGGTGCCCTGAGAAACCTAATTAATGGGATGGTATCTCTGCCCATGTCAGGAGGTTTGGAACTAAATGACCCTTAATGTCCCCTCCAACCTAAGCCCTTCTACGATTCTATGAATTATTATAAATGTAAACTAAGTGCAGTCTTTTCAGACACTGTGGACAAAAATGTGTTAGAAATGCCACAGAAATGAGAAGTATGGGAGTGATTATGCACACTAACATCCTGCATGTGGCACATAACTGTTGGAGAATGGCAGGACATAATCCTGGGAGTGCACCTGGGGAAGGCTGAAAAGAGCAAGGACACAGTCCCCTGGGAATGCACGGACATAGTCCTGGGAACGCACCTGGGAATGCAGTGTACAAGCAAGGCTCTGGAGACAGTAACTTATATATAGATAGGGAGTAACTCAGCTTGGCAGAAGGCAGGGGCAAGTTGTCCCTGAGTGTGAGACAAACAAGTTTGAGACAAACAGCTAAGAACGCAGCCAAGCCTGGGAAAGTAAGAGATAATCCTCACAGCTGTAACCGCAAGTAGGGAGAGTACCTGAATGCTATCTTTAGAGCTTAGCCAGTTATAAATGATTGATAGTTATATGCCTGTCCTGCACTGTATAAGAAAGAGCCTGTCAGACAATAAAGTTGGAGCTTGCTTTATCACCCACACGGAGTCGGCCGCTTGCTTCCCCGCGCGGAACTTTCCCTTTCCCAACACACAACCACTTGCAGACCTTTGATTCCAACAAAGACATGAGAAAGGAAACACTGGTTTGGTCTAGCTTGCATTTCTGTTCTTCTAGTCTGCCTCAGTAGCTTTGGGTTAAAGAAAAATATGGACTATGAATATATTCTGCATGTATGTAATCAACAGTGTCTGATGTCACTCTTTTGCTTATATATTATCAGCACTCTTTTAAATATGAACCTACACTTCTAAGAACTCAGCATAAAAAAACAGGCAGTCCGGCTTCATGTGCAAGTTTGCATAAGGAGAAAAATGAAAACATGAAAGCATGAAAGTCATCCATGTGCAGTGATGCCCTCTGAATGAGAATTTCCTCTATCCAGGACTGAATATCTGAATGCTTTATAATTTCTAAAATTAGTGAGGCACCTAAAAGTATGTATTTTCATTCTGCATGTATGGCAAATTCCAAGGCTACTGTTATACAAATAACACACCAAACACAACAGCATCTATTACGAGTGTGTATAAATGTATTATATTAATAACATATATTCAAAAAACATTAAACAGTGCATGAATAAAATGTATTTTAGAAGTTTTTCTTTCTAGCATCACGTATATACAGATTGGATATAGGAACTACAGTACTGAGTACATTTTTATTTAGAGGACAGAATCATTGACAATTGCACTTGCTTAACACAGGAAACTAAGTAAAAACATTTTCTTAAATCAAATTTGCATTTTTGTCATGTTTTTTTTGTGGACCTACCATTCATTTCTGGTACCACAAAGTTTATCCATATGTTTAGTTTTACACTTAGGAGTAATAATAGTGAAACTAAGGTACATAAAAATAAGCCTCTGAAGACCTGAATTCTTGATGGTAGCCTGCTTTCACATTCTTCATGTGCAAAAACCCACACAAGAAATAAAAGGTAAAGTGAAAAGGTGCAATCATTCCCATTGCTCAGATTCTCTGCAGTTTTTCGTTTCACATTGTCTCAAAAGAATACAAGTCCACATTAACAAATATTAGTAGGATAGAAAAAATGTTTTTAATTTCAGGTTCTTCTCAGGTTTCTGTTTGTAATTTGCCAGCATTCTCTGGTCTCCCTCTGAAATTAATTGATATTTCAGTTGCATATGTAGACAGGCTTGGACTTTATTACTTAGACGCCTAGATGTTTACTGGGACTTGCTTATGATACATTTTTTTCCAGGTTGTTCCTCACAGCAGCAGCTGCTCATCCTCTGTTCCAGTAAACAACACTGGATCACTGGATTGTCTGTTCCTAAATGTTATGACCATGTTGTTGTTTTACTAATGATGATATTTCAGCCTCTCCTTGGGCACCTAATGCTCCTGCTGCAGTCCCGTGAATTCTGTTACACAATGGATGCAGGAACAGGTTCTACTGGTGATGAAGATGCAACATGATAGTGTCTTAAAATGGCATGGTGTCAGGTACAGCTCTGGAGTACTTCATACATGACTGTAGTATGCTTGTGTCTTTACTAAGAATGCTGACTGACATGTGAGTAGCATTTTGCCTTATATACAAAAGTACTGTAGCAACCGTGAAACAAATAACCTGCACTGATTGCTGTTGACAGAATAAAAAGAAGATTCTTCTGTCAGACAAAACACATCACTGTGCATTTTCAGGTACCAAAAACAATGGATCAATAAAAAGTATCTTTTAAGCGCTATTACACAGAAGTTGCTTTCACAAAGCACAATGTTGCTTAATTAGTTGTAGTACTGCCTTGAGAACCTCTTCCTTGGAGGGGCTGGCATCAACCTCTTGGCACGCAGGATTCACCATCCTTCTGTATGACTCTTCAACTCTATTTAAAAACAAAACAAGAGAACTTAAACTTCAAATTGCAGGGATACCAAATGGCATTAGTCATCAGTCTCAGAAGAAAGTGTTTGCACTGCAGAGACAAATAACACAAAATCTAATATGACGCTAAGAATGAAATCTACTGCAAAGAGCAATAAACCATTAGTAAATATTACAATGCAAATCTCAAAGCACATAGTTTCCTTGACACTGGTTCCCAGAGTTCCAGACTTATTCATAAAGCATGGCATTAAAATATTTCTTTCTTTACAACTTAACACTTGATAGAGTGCTATATAGCACTGTAGAGCAGTACAGTGGACAGTCTGCTTCTAACACCTGAATTCATTTATTCAGAACTTGCTAAGGTGTCTCTGAAATATATGGCATTGCATTGTGTAGGTGTGCTCACTGACTGATCTCAGCTTTGACCCACTGGATTACAGAGTTGACACATCATTCAACCTTCTCCTCTGATCAACCAACCAGACGAATAACAGGATGAAATAATGGTTGAAAACTTCCTCACTTAGACTATAAGCAGAACTCTCCCACTTAGCCTATGAGTGTGTGAAAGAGGACGTGAATATCGTTTTCTATGTTCCCATAATTGCCATTTAGTCTGGAAGTCATACGACAAATCAAATGAGTCTGGATGTTCTTATATGCAAGTTGACATAACTAACAAGAAGAAATAATTAGAACATTAAAGATTCTTAAATGGCAGCATGTTCCCTAGCTTATCCATCCTTCTGCAGGTCCCACTATTTGAATCGTGTGTGTCCACACGGTTTCTGTCAAAATTAAGTAATGACTATTTTTAAGCTATATCGCCACCTGAAATGTTAAAACCCTAAAGGTAGATTTCAGCCTCGTGATTTGTAAATGTCTATACTGAGGTATCTACATGAACATTGGGTATTTAAGTTTCCACCCTAGACAATGATCTAATCAATGCATTTGGCAAAGCCTAGACAGCAATCCAGCACACCGGGAAGTAGCATGCCATTCAGTTGTTTGAGCAAATGTACCTAGTACTGCTTGAGATGCTCTGGACTATCTCATTTAGCTTCTGGTTGCTAGGCCAGAAAGTGTGCAAAGGTTCTGCATCACATTGCCAGTCTCATATCAAATGACTTTAGATACTTAAGCTTAGATCACTGAGCTCCAAATCAGTGGTGAGATGAACCACTTTGAAGGTTCCATTGAATGTATCAACTATATTGGGACTTGAGACACTTAGCCCAAGTGAAAAATCTCTATCTCTTAATCTGGAGTTCAATTCCAGACTTTCCTGGGGAAGCTATGCGTTTCAACTTCTTGCCTCCCACTTCCAGAATTTTTAGGTCTTTCTCCTTCATGACCTTATGATGAAAGGTGCTAAAATAAAAGCAATAAGTAGCAAGATAGAAGTATTTGAACTCGAAGATCATCTGCAGAGCAATTAAATTCTTCACCTGCAGCTTTTAAACATTTTCAGTCAAAAGTGACAGAATTTATCCTCCCTGTCAGACACGAATCCTTTCCAAAAAAAAAAGCAACCCAAAGCAAAAGCTTAGACATAGGAAATCCTTGTCCCAGTAATGTGAGTGGGACGTTTGCTACTGATCCCACAGGAACCAAGATTGCCTCCAGCCTCTAATTCCTCATTACCTTTGGCGAAACAAACTGTTAGCTTCCAACTTGGCTTCCTCCTTTGTTTTCTCAAGTCCCCGATGCTGAAGTCTCCGCACTCGTTCCTCAGGGTCAACAGTCAGAAGAAGAACAAGATCGGGTTTAAGCAGATCCTCAGGCCACTGGTACACCTCATCATGAGCTGGTGGAAGATCCTGGACTTTCCCATTTGTTTCAGTAGCAATTGTGTAGGCAGCTGTGCTGTGCCAGTATCTGGCAGGAAAACACAAAACGAAGAGAGAAATTTTAAAGAGGACACTAATTCTTCAGTAATGTAGGAGACAGTTGTTACTATAATGACAAGTCAATAACGGTGAGATAGGTAACACCATGGTTTTGAAGAAAAACCTAAAGAACGGTTCTGTGCCATCCAGTATTTCTTAACAGTGGTAACACTCAGTGCACTATTCAGAATTAACAGGAATTATTAATTAAAACATTTGGCAGCAGCTACACATTATGTAAAGAAGGTTCCGGATACTCCTATCAAAAGAGAATCTTCTCATATATTGAGAGAGGTTAAAGAAGAGCTACATTATATCTCAAAATCCAATCCCTTTTTTTTGGTTCCAATCCTACTTCATGCAACAGATGTGGTAGAGAACACGCAGGTTTCACAAACATCTGAATGATGACAAATGTTATTAATGATCACGCATTTCCTTTTAAAGTTTAACACTCCACTCACTACAAGACACTGTTTGATAGATTTCTGTGAGTTTGAAGCTGGTTGTAAACAGCACTCACATGTAAACAACTATTGTGTATGTATGTTGTGCCAGGAGGTTATAGTACACCTACTGAAATAAGCCAGAGGGTTCAAAGTGGATCTTGACTTCCTTTATTAAGAGTAATACTGTAAGCTACCTACACAGTTAGTGAAAATCAGAAATAACACAAACAAAACCAAAAAACTGGGAAGCATGTTTCTGGCTTTACATATGCAAAGAGTAAGTCTACCCAAAACTTGGTCATGCCAATCCACCCATATCTCAGACACATCTTAGAGACAGCCATGACCAGCAGCACACATTCTCCTGAGCTTTGTCAAAGAGCCCTGATTTGGGTCAGGATGTACAGTCTGTGACTCCACTATTCCTAACCAAAGATGTAATAATTTTCATGTGTCCTAAAGCTAGTTATGAGTACTACACTGATGCAAGTTCCCTATCTTGCTGTTATCATAAGTATTACTCTTTAGAAGATTTAATATTTATTTGATTCTCTACACAGTAGTGCTTCCAAAAAAATCAAGACCAAACCCAAAAAACCAAAACCAAAACCAAAAAACCTAAACCAAACCACAAACCAAAAGCCCCGAAAAACAGAGACAATCATTGACACTTCTGCTTGTAACACTGAACAACTGTATGATGGCACTGAGATAAGAGGGTAAGAGGGCTTCTAAAATACACAAACCTGTCTATGATCACGGGTGCCTGAGTGGATGCTTTCGCTATTTCTGAAGCAAGAATGTAGTTGCCCGCAGCATAAAATGCTCTTTTAATGGGTGTTGGCTCATCATCAAACACAGTCCTCCATTGGCTGATGCAAGCTGGTGGGGACCTCAGCAAAACGCCATTCAGGGTGTCCTTAACAGCCTGGGTCACAGTGGTTTTGCCTGCATTTCATTTACAGAAGGAAACAATTGTTATATTATGTACCAGATAGACCCGGGTTTTAAAAACTGAAAACCACCCTTATCTGTTCACTAAGAACACATGTTCTGACATCTGAATATGAGTATCCTGTGATAAAGTTTTCATCGGGAAATGAGTCTGAGTCTGGTTGCAGGAATTATTACTTTCTTCCTGCTCTTTGGGCCTTCCAGACCTTCCTCTTGCAAACTTTGAGTCTTCTCTCCCATTGAAAGGGGGCATGCATTAAATGCAAGGCAATTTCTCTATATATCAATTCATACTATTTTTCTAGGTCACAATTCATGTGGAGGTTGCCATGCTGTCATTCAATTCTTTATTTTTAAGGGGATTTTCAGTTCTCTTTAACTGAAAAGTCAGAAAACAAAGTTATTCTGGGAAACTATTATTCCTCTCCGAGACAAACTATTGCCAGTTTCCCAAACTACCGCTATTTTAGTTCCTTTATTTGAAAACTCTACAGTAAAAGCATGCTGCATCATCTGCACACACACAAAAAATTAATTTTCAGTACTCCACTCTTCATAGTCTTTCATTTATATAGATAAGGAATTCACCCGCTGAATGAAAATTAGCATAGACTGTTTGATCTTTTCAAGTAAGTGAAGACAGACTGGTATTTGTAATTGGTAATTCCTTCAAATCTGTCACAGGTTTCCAAGATTTTTTTTTTATTATTTTTAAGACTTACACCCGGCTGAAAGCCACAGCAGTTGCTCTTTCCTGCTATTTCCCATCTGCGGTTCTTCAACCACGCAATAGCTCTTACCTGTGGCATCCAGCCCCTCAAAAACTATGACGGGAAAACCTCCCTTCTTCTGGTGCTCTGGACATTTCTCCAGCAAGTCAAGTACTGCTCGAGCCTCCGGGATCCGCTCTGCACACTGCAAGGAGAGATCATAGGATGTGTTGGGTTAGAAAGGACCTTCAAAGGTCATCTAGCCCACCCCCCACGCAGTGCACTGGGGCATCTTAAACTAGATCGGGTCGCTAAAAACCCTGTCCGACCTGGAACGTTTCCAGGGATGGGACATCTAC